TGTACAAAAGGACTCACCTGTTTTCTTGGAACACAAGACTGAACCCAAAAACAATCAAATCATCATCTTTCTATGAGCTTTCATGGAAGTTTGCTGACCTCGAAAGAGCAGCCGGATTGGCTTGCAACTCCATTCGTCTTCCCGGAAGTTTCCCTTCGGTTTTCTCTTTGTTTGATGATCTGAAAGCTCCGAAAGTGTCCGCCTTTTCATCTTTTTTGATCCCTAATGTTTCCCAGATTGAACTTTTAGCAGCTTCTTCTGGATCGTCGATCCTCAGCGTCTTGGGAACCCACAGGCATCTCTCGGGTTTGCTTTTCTCTCTGCCGAGTGACTCGGTTTCTTCAGGAGCGGCTTCTGGTTCAGCAATGCTCTCGTCTCGTGAATGTTTACCAAGTGTTGGAGAGTTTGGACCAGATCCAGATGGTGAATTGGGCTGTGGCATCCAGGTGAAGCTGTTCCATGCCCCCGGTGAAACACCCGGGCAGCTCCAGTAAGCAGGCGGAGGGTAAAACGGTAAAACCGTCCACGAAACTCCGTTCCAAGCGTATGGCCAAGTTGGTGGTCCTGGAAAGCATGGAACTTTTGGCAATGGGCTGATTGTTCCAGCCTCCTCGCTTGACGGGTTTAAAGGAACAGTAATCTTTAAGCCTTCGTTCGGTTCTTGCAATCCGGTTTGTGTCTTCAGCATCGACTTATCAGCAAGATTCAATCCCGAAGCCATGGATTCACAGATGACTGAATCAGAGCCAAAAGTGAGGAGATTGGTACCATCATTAGGATGTTGAAGATCAGCTATCGCCGCCTTCTGCATAGCTTCCGCAGATGTTACGCTGACATGATGACGGTTATAATGAGAAGCCGGGTTCTTGTTCTTACGTCTCCCTGCACCAACCGGAACATTCCTCATTGTTCCACCAGCTGTCCAATACCTCTGACATTTCTTACAGAAATGACGAGGTTGGTTAACATTGTAGTTGTTGTAGTAACAGAACTTTGTTTCCATGCTCTTACATCGCGGGCACGGTAGTATCTTATCCGGTTTCTTTAGCTTCCCCTCTTGAGAGCAAGTCCCGTTCTGCGACGACGACTCTTCATTCGTCGTCTTCTCAGCTTTAGTTATCTCCGTTTTCTCGGTTAAACCCGATGTTGTAGCAACGTTATTAGACTCTTCTCCATTCTCATCTCCACACTCATTATTATCTTTTTCTTCCTGAGATAAAAAGCATAAAACTTGATTATGGTAATCACATCAAAGTATCATTGTTCTGTATCCT